AACTGGGTCACGACTCTTTTTCCTCTCTTCCTATTTCCATCTACAAGTTCCCAAATTCCCATAAATCCCTACCATCTCTTCTCCCAGTCAAAGGATGAGATGCCCCTCTGTCAATAGAAGACCAAATCAACCATTACTGTCCTTTACTCCACCCTTCCCTCCCACTCCAGAACTTTGCCCCTTCAATTATCTGATATCTCCCATACCTTTGCTATTTTCATTACACTCATTGGCTTTTTACCTTCAAGATTTTCTTGTCCATCCAGACCTACACCCTGAGCTTTAGAATCATGTCTACTAAGCTGAACTTCAATGAGTAAATATATCATATGTCTTTTGTTCAAGGTTAAATTTCCAGCACCTAGGACAGTACTCACTGGTAGTACTGAATATTTGCTCAATAAATGCTTGTTGATTGAATGAATGAATACCCAACTGCCTATTGGATTTCTCACCTAGATATCCATAGATCTCAAAAGTGAGCTCTTCATCTACCCCACTGGTAGCTTCTCAAAGTTGTCATTTCCCAAGTATAGTAGAGAAGCTACCATGATTGGATGGACTTAAGAGACCCTGAAAAGAAGGATGGTAGATGTCTCAAGGATAGCCTATATGAACTGAAGTTATACCCTTCCCTTCCCCTGCTTGCCACATCTAAGAACCTTAGAACAGGGGGCACCTGGGTGGCTCAGTCAGTTAAGCATGTGACTCTTGGTTTCGGCTCAGGTCATGATCTCAGAGTCATGGGATCAAGCCCAGCATCAGGCTCTGCACTCAGAACAGACATCTGGAAATATATAGGTCAGAACAAATTATGGAGGCCTTAAATGCCATGCCATATGTCTGAACTCTTAAATGGGCTTGGGGAGTTACTGAATGTCTTTAAGAAATGAAGTGACATGATTGAACCTGAATCTTAGGAGAAATCATCCTGGTATTAGCATGAAGGGTAGAGGAAAAGGTATAAGACTGTAGGCACAGACTTACCTGGGGACCATTTCTTTATTTGAAGTAGGAAGAATTCAACATGTGCCATGGGAAAGCAGAGAAAGGACACCAAAAAAAAAAAAAAAATCAGCTGACTCTAGAAAGTGAAGTAAAATAATAGCAAACCCTCCTATAGAGCTTATTTAGTACCGGCTAAAGTTCTAAGTGCTTTCCATATATTAACCCATTTAACATTCACCCAATTATATAGTTACTATTATCTCTACTTAGCAGATGAGGAACTGAGATGTGAAAGGTCAAGTAGTTCGCCTAAACTTATAAAGCTAGTAAGCCACACAGTCAGATTTTAAACCAGGCAGGCTGACTCTGGCATTTGTACTCTTAACCATTTCTTGGCAAGAGAGGGGACAAAGATCCTTGGGTTTCTAGCTCCTGTAGCCAAAGACACAGACTGAGATAAAAGCATGCTCAGTGCAAGTAGAAGATGGGATGGGATTAATGGAGGGCAGGGAAAGGAGTAATGAATTTTATTTTGGATCTGCTGATTTCAAGTGAACCTGAGCAACATGTGCAAATGTCTACTACCTGGGCTCTTGCAACCAAAGAAAGTAAAGTCTCCCTTCCTGCCATTTTTGGTAGCTGGCATTATGTGTTAGAGCTAATATCTTAATGATGCCCTGATTTTTAACTCTACTTGATTCTAAAATTTTTCCCTACAATTTTTATCTGTAATAATAGTCCACTTTGTCAGTATACAACTCTTTCAAACCCTGAAATCTTCCCATGATTTATTAAACTAGGATGATTAGTTATTCTGCTGAATTATTTCCATATAAGATGGTTCTGATTTAATTTTCCCCTCCAATATGAAACAAGAAAGTAACTGATGTCTGTGGTCACTTCACTGTGGCTTCAGTAAGGTACACTCCAAATAGCATGGAAATAAGATACCCTTCAAAGCAATATTATCTTTTTTTTTGTAAAGATTTTATTTATTTATTTGACACAGAGGGAGAGACAGCGAGAGAGGGAACACAAGCAGGGGGAATGGGAGAGGGAGAAGCAGGCTTCCCACTGAGCAGGGAGCCCGATGCGGGGCTCCATCCCAGGTCCTCGGGATCACCACCTGAGTCGAAGGCAGCCTCTTAACGACTGAGCCACCCAGGCGCCGCAGAGCAATATTATCTTTACGTGATGTTTTATATACAATTATTTAAAACAGAGGTACATAAATTAACCTACAGAGACTAACATCACCCTCAAATGGCTGAGGCAGGCCAGATCCTGAGTGAGTTCATTGACATGTCTAACTGACATATCTACAGTGAAAAGTGTGTCCCTTCGATGGGTAGTTGCTGAGCTATGAAGCCCTGAGAAAGAGAGAGGTCAGGGAGGGAATCTTTTTTAGTTCCCTACAGGGATTGTTGTAAAAGAATTTTATGGTCTCACTGGCAAGATGAATGCAATAAACTGTCAGCCTAATTTCATTAAATATTCTAATCTTCATGCCCTTTGTTCTTATTCCAGTGACCAAAAAACCTTATAATTATGTTTCCAACAAAGATCTGCCTCTAGAGCAAAAATTTTCTCATTTACTAACATGGATAACCTGGTTCCAGTATGCGAGATAGCAAATAGCTACAACTCCCCGCAGAAAACTCCTGCATGGACATAGATGGAAAATTCCTAGCCCTAAACTGTAGAGGCAGATAAAGGATGAATACTTGCCTCAGTGTTGGTGTAGCATGAATTTCAAGATCTGGAATAGGGTCATTAAGGCCAGTGACAAGGCTGGCTAAGTGGGGAATCATTACCTGATATGGTTATAGAAGCTGTTTTCTTGGTTGCTAACATGGCTAAGGAAAGAAAGACCCCAGTTCTATACTCCTCCAACTTGGCAAATATCTTACTCCACATGGGTTAGCAAGACCACCAAGCATGCCTCCCTAAGAAAATGGAAGGCAGGGGCACCTGGGTGGCTCAGTTGGTTAAGCATCTGCCTTTGGCTCAGGTCATGATCCCAGAGTCCTGGGATTGAGCCCCACATCAGGCTCCTAGCTCAGTGGGGAGTCTGCTTCTCCCTCTCCCTCTGCCCTGCTCATTCTCTCTCTCTTAAAAAAAAAATGGAAGGCAACGGGGACTGCTATTTTAAGGGGCAGAAATAGCTAGTGGTTCACTAAAATTTGTACTCTCCTGCTGTTGGATAGATTTGCACTGGCAGGAAGATTTCCTACACTTCCCAGCCTCCCTTGCACTTAGATATAATCAAGTGACTGTTAATCATCAACAAAATGCAAGCAGAAGGGTTGTGTGTCCCTTCCAGACCATAGCTTTTCAGAAAGTTCCTCAGCCTTCTCTACACACTCTTCTCCTTCAGGCACCTGGATATCAGTGACTAAAGAGCCCTGAAAAACAGCAGAACTACGAAATGGAGTAATCCTGCAACCCAGAATCACCACCCGGAGAAAAGCTATTCACTGACCACAAACAGCGGATATGTAACACTGCTTCATGAATGAAAAAGAAATATCTATTTAAAGCAAGACATGAAGAATTAAACACATCTGAATTTAAATTAGGGAGGAAGAAGGGATAATAATATGTAGTGCCCAAAATATATTCTGTGGTCCTCACGGTGACAGTATTAACCAGCAATTAGTCTCTATTTTAATCATTAGCACATAATCAGTTTGTTACATTAATTTGGGCATACACTGGTAGACTGTATTCATCAAAGAATAATAAAGACATTAATTTTCAAACAAGAAAAAAAAAGAAAAAGAAATATCTATTGTATGAGCTTTTATAAATTTTAGGGTTTGTTTACCACAGCAAACATTACCCTAACATGCCAAGTGTATGTCCTCTACATTGTTTAGTAGCCTCTGAGAATAAACTGCTAACAGTGACTGAACTGAGAGCTGAATTGTTACTCTCTCTCATCCTCAAGCCCAGGGGAGGTCCTCTGATCTGGTCTTAGCAGATGTGAGAATTGCATTCTTCATAGTAGATGAATGACTTGGCATTCCAGTTTTAGCATCAGTTGCTATGAGCTTGCTCAACGTAGGTCTGTCTTAAAAGATGGACCTACTCTCAGTGCGCTGACACATTCAGATCCTTGAGGCTGGAAGGCTGCAGGACTCAGCCCTAGGCTGTGAGAAATGCTCCAATTGAAATGTCTCCACACAAGGCCTCTTGGGAGTGCTATTTCTCTCCTACACATGCCTGGGAGGTACATACATTTTCTTGGTACTTCCTTCATATTTTCAGGACTTTAAGGGCAAGAAGAGGATGGCCCAGCAATCAAAAATCACAAACTATGATGGCCAACTAGAGATGGACAAATAAACAAAAAGCACTGGAAATATACAAGCTGGTATCTCTATCCCCTGCTACTTGAAGTGTTGTTACCTGAAGACCAGAGGCATCAACATCACAGGGAAGCTTGTTAGAAAGGCTAAAGTTCAAACTCCACTCCAGCCTTCTGAATCAGAATTAACATTTTAACAAGATCTTCCAGTGATTTGGGGGCTCATTAAAGTTTGAAAAGCCCAGCATTTCATCTCCTCTCCCACCTCATTTCTCCAAGATGAAGGCCTGTGGTTATATGTGTAGTCAACTTCCAGCCACCTTTCTTTTCTGAGAAGTAAATATTAGAGGAAGACAAATGGGTCAGGAAACCTTGTATCATCTGCCTTGTGGAGGAGCCTAAAAGTGGGTTCCAAAGATGAATTCCCAAAACAGTTTCGAAGTCTTCCTCATTGATGTACCCTAAAGCTCCAAGGCTTCTCATAGGCACTTCGATTTCCCTGTATACTGCTTTATGTCCTGATAGGCTGGCCCAGGAAGTGATCCTACTCCATGAAAGCCTAGCCTTCTACCAAGAGGGACAACTGAGCTCACCTTCTTTTTGTCACCAGAATCACTTATGTCCCCTGTTCATGCATGTGTGGGCATTTGTTGACTTTAAATCCCTAGATCAAAATATGATGATAGAAAAAAAAAAGGCCATTAAATTTCAGAATAAAATAAATTTTATTTGTATTCACCAAGAGACCCATTAAAATAAGTAAGCTCAGGAAATTTTACAAAGTCAGATGTTCCTCCAATCTTTTTATCATCACCCCCTGCTAAAGACTGCGAAGACAGGGAATAAATAAAGATGTGGGGAAACATCTACATTTATCCCTATAAGAGGAACAGCTGTAACAAGAGGTACATTATTTCACCTAAGAACCACTTTCTAGTCTCACTTCATAGCTTCCTTCCTTCCGTCTGTTCTTCCTTTCTTTCTGATTTAAAAATATATCCCCAGGCATTTAAGCAAATGATATGTTCCAGGTCATTAAGTAAGATGACTGAAGATCTATTGCTTTTAAAATCCTAGATCTTTCAGAAACTTTAGTTTACACCTTATCAAAAATCTATAGCATTGGACTTCTTTCAAAGTCGTTCCACTCTCTGAGAGTCCCCAATTTCCAAAAGAATTAGTAGATAGAAAGTCATAATCTCCAGGATTTTCTCATCATTAAAATGAAATAGGCATCGGTGTCAATAGAAGCACTAACCCCAGCATAATAGTTCAAAAATTCTTCTTTTGAAACCTGAGAGGGATAAAAGGCAGGGGAAAAAGAAGGAAATGGTGTCAAAATATGTGAGGCATAGTGAAGCATTTTACATTCTCCCTGAAATGTTTTCTGTGGAGTCTGATTTGCCACTGGCAATCAAGCAGAGTCAGGTAACTGGGGATCAGGGAACCTGGCTTACCTCTCCCCTCTGAGGTGGGGCATTTGCAAGGTATGCTAAAGACCCACCTGTCCACTGGCCATCAGTTGTTGCATTAAGATAAAAATATTTAGAGCTATACTATCCAATACAGTAGCCACTAATCACATATGGCTTTTTAAATTTAAATTTGTTAAAATTAAACATAATGAAAAATTGAATTCCTCAACTGAACTAGCCACATTTCATTTGCTCAATAGCCATATGTAATTTGCTCAATAGCCAAGGTGGCTAATGGTTGACATCTTGGAGAGCACAGATCTAGAATATTTCCATCATCACAGAAGGTCTTATGGGACAGCACTACTCTAGAGCATACTTTGTATGATTATACTTATGATTATTATTACTTTAGAATAGAGAAATTTATAGCATAAATACACAGATTAAAAAGGTCTTTAAAGAAAGAAAGCTCAGACCAGTCACGTAAATAAAGGATAGAACTAGAGCATGGGGCACTTCCCAGGATCCTTGGACACCCAGGAACCCACAATGCCTGGGATTCAACAGCAGGATGCAAGGCACTAGCCATATGAGAGGTGCTAGAAGGCAAACTTCTCATTTTGGTCAGGTTGTGTGTTAGTGTTTCATAGTTGGCCCTGTGCATTCTATAATGAGCAATTAAATTAAAAGAGCAGAAATCAGCCCCTAGGTTCCATTCCTTTTTCTTCCCTCTTAACCTCCCCTGTTCCTTAATACCAGCACACAGAATATATTCTATTCCCCCCAGTCTTAGGGGTACCAGTCAGAGGCTAGGCATTGTGGGAACTTGCTCGGCTTGCTAGATGGGAGCAGTTCAACCCTGCAGGAAAAGGAATATTGACATCAAATTTTCAAACTCTCATTCTTGGCTGTCAAAATAATTGGGGCGGGGGGAGTTACATTTTGTCCTTTTAAAAACATGAGCAAGTACAATTTGAACAGGGCCTTATCATTTTCAAAGAAGAAACTTTGTCCCCTTCAACTGAAATATCACACAAGTAACATTTTTAAATGATCCAAAAGCACCCCCCGGGAAGTAAACTTTTAGAGAAGCATGATATGTAACACGTTAGCTATTAAGAAGAAAAATATTTTGGAAAGACTTTAAAACAGAAACAAAAGCTAGATGAATTCTTTTGGCACGAGAGTTGTTAATGTTTCAAGCCTTCAGTTGAAGAAATTCTATTACATTAGAAAATCATGTGAATGGCAAAGCACAATATGATAATGTGATAAATTGACAAAGTTGGTATTAGATATTAAACCATATCTAACTTTGTAGCTCAAAATCTTCTCAATTTCTGGTTCCTCAAAGCAATACCCTAACTGATGCCATTATGACAAATTCTTGCTTTCAATGCATACATAGCTTACCACTACAAGCATGTGTAGCTTTTTAAACAGAATATTTGAAAATTTATATCATAAATGTCATGGAAATTCTGCTTTATAAAACATTGTTTTTCGGCTTCAATTTCTATTAAAGATACTATCTGGATAAGATTTACATATAGGAACTCCTCACTATCTAGAAAATAGTTTATGTCACAGGTAAATAAAGTATTAACAATGAACAATTGGTCTAGGGCAGTTTTCAGATAGGTGGGAACTTCTTATGACTAGCATGTTAATTACATTTATGTGCAAATAGATATCTCCAAGTACCTGTAAAACATATGTGCACATAGGCAGGCACAGCTCTTATAATCTTTATATACTGACTTGCTTAACAAGCCATTCTTTTTAGTATAGATGAAACAGAAGTAAATTTTCACTCAAACCCTATCTAAGTGAGCTCAACTAGAGAAGCTTAAATTAATGGTGATTTACTATATTTACTGTACAGCTTCAAAGATAATCTTAAATAAATGGATGTGGAATGATATTGCTAAATGAGATTTTAGGCATGACTAAGGATGAAATCTGTGGAATAGAGTTTATTCCACAGTCCCCTTGGAAACTAAAAGAATGATCTGGGTTTCAGAAGGTAATGCCTAGCATTTGGTAATGCCCTGCGTTTGTGTTGCACTTTATCCCATCAAGGTGGAAGCACTCGGAGGCTCACTATAACCCAGCAAGAGCAAACTGCTCTGCCATCTGTCATTTTCTCTCAATTACAGGTTCCCTTTCTGTTCTAAGTCTCTCTCAGAGCACTGACAGTCATCAGCTCTGCATGTAGCCTGAGTGTTTCTAGGAGACCAGCAACTCAAACCTTTCAAGTTTAAGAGCAAGATGTTTCCAGAATCAATACCAGTGTCTGAGGGCCAAGTGCTAAGGCTTATAAAGAAAAAGTTGCTCAAGTCTTTCATGCCAGAATTACAAACTACAAACTCAGATGTTGCTTCGAAATTTCAGTTGCTTGAGCTCTAAGTCACAGAGTCCCTCTTAAATTTATTATGGGCTGTCGTGCAGAATGAAACATCTGAGCTGCGTGCCACGTGTCTCCATGTTGGGAGCGAGAGTGGGAACAGGAAACTCATGGTGCTTACAAGAACTTCAGTGAAACAGAGATTGCTTCAACCGTGTTCAGTGGCTATTAGAATTTGTATCATACTCCAGAGAAATCATAAACAAATAAATTCCATTTATGAAGAGTAAGAAGAATCTAGAACAAAAGAAAATAGGCCAGTACATTTTGTGATTTTTCTTTCCCTGATACGATATACCTTTCTGGTTCTTGCAAGGTCCATTATCAAAACCTCAGTTACAGGTCGGTGGCTCATATTTTTGGTGGGTTCACTCCTAAAGAGCACCTTTCACTCTATTCTGCTGAAGGAAGATACTGGCTTTGGCGAAGCAGGTGTGAAAATAAAACAAGAAGGTCATGCTATTCTCAGAGAGGAAGAACTGCTTCACCACAAGCTTCTCACCGCACCAACTGAGGTGGCAAAAGAACTCTTTTCACACAGCAGTGTTCTCAGAACCCCCATCAATCATTTGTTTATGTTTCTTTCAACAGATTTCACCCGTCATCTGTTTTACAAGACATAATTTTAGGGGATTCATTTAGTGAGGTGTTTTTTTTTTTTATGACAAGGAAAAAACTAGTTATCTCTATCAAAGTTATGTAGCTTCCACATCAGCAACTTGGAGTAGAACTACGCTTAGAAACATTGGCTTCCAAAGGATCAATTACATGAAGATAACATTATATGACAACCTATCAGGTCCTTTGGCACCTTTGTTTTTCCTTGAATCATAAGCATTTCTAAAATTTAAAACTTCGCTGCTTCTTTCAACAAGCTTTTAATTTACAAGAACAGCCTATAATTTCCAGGAAAGCAAGTTTGTTGACCGATCTGAGAAATTGGAATTTGTGGGGGTTTTCATTCTATGCCCCAGAGTGTTGTGTATAAATCCAAAAAGGTATACCACTCAGAGGGTGTTAGTAGAATTTCATAAAGAAGGAGCAGAAGGGCACCCACACACCAGTCAAGAATACATATTTGGTTAATTTCATCTCTCCACTTGATTAAACATCAGCAGAACGAACTGCATCTGTAGGTTGCCTAAAGAAGGTTGAATCATTACCTACTTGTACTCTCATGGCTCAGTGAGGCTATCCACACTGGCCAAGAGAAGTGAAGGGCTGACACGATGATCTGCCTCCAAGAATAGAGGGGTATTTTCCTGGCAGTGTCTTGATAGATTGCCTACATTCATTAAATTTACTACATGGTCCTACAGCACACTGCTATATAAAGGGCCCCAGCTATCCTGGCTTCAGTGCCTATGCTTCCCCTCCTCTCTGATCTCTTAACTGGGGGCTTTTAGTTTGGTTTCAAAGCCAGTGGTTTGGTTTGCATTTATCCTAGCCCCTTCCTCTATCCCCACAGCCTAGGGTAGAACAGGGTACATAGGAGTGACTCAATAAATATTTACTAATGGGATGTATTCAGCCTAAAACTGTAATGTGACAAAGCCAATCTACAGCCTACTTGGTGGGGACCCAGCTCTACTTTAAAAAGCTGCTCTTAGCTGGGGCGCCTGGGTGGCTCAGTCGTTAAGCGTCTGCCTTCGGCTCAGGTCATGATCCCGGGGTCCTGGGATCGAGCCCCGCATCGGGCTTCCTGCTCAGCGGGGAGCTTGCTTCTCCCACTCCCTCTCTCCCTGCTCATGCTCTCTCCCTCTCTCTCTCTGTATCTCCGTGTCTCAAATGAATAAATAAAAAATCTTTAAAAAAAAATGCTCTTAGCTTTGAAGCTGTTCTTAGTATGAAGTGTTGCTCCACGCCGCCACCAAACCACAAAGAGCCAGGCGTCATCCTCCAGGGTGCCATATGGGTCTGGGACAAAATCCTATCAAGGTTTGAATGTCTAGGAAAAATAGCCGTGCCGATCGCTGGAAGAATTCTGCCTCAGGCTACAATACCAATGCTGTGGGATTACTCACTTGCACTCTGAATGGAATTCAGGCAGGATGGGAACCAGCCCTTAAAGAAGTTGGGAATTGTGCAGGACTGTTGAATCTCAGATCTGTACCTCTGAGACAAATAATGCAAGATATGTTAAGAAAAAAAAAAGAAGAAGAAGAAGGTAGCGGGAGGGGAGGAATGAAGCGGGGGAAATCGGAGGGGTGGACGAACCATGAGAGAAGATGGACTCTGAAAAACAAACTGAGGGTTCTAGAGGGGAGGGGGGTGGGAGGATGGGTTAGCCTGGTGGTGGGTATTGAGGAGGGCACGTTCTGCATGGAGCACTGGGTGTTATGCACAAACAATGAATCATGGAACACTTTATCTAAAACTAATGATGTAATGTATGGGGATTAACATAAGAATAAAAAAATTAAAATAAAAAAAGAAGTTGGTTAAGGTCAGGCCTCCATCCTTGCCTAGGTTTGCCTTTTGGGGGGAGTTAGAACTCAGATTCAGTACTGATATTGATGGCTTCTTCTGGCCAATCCTGATTCTCAGAATTTGTACATACACTGTTCTGTTTTGTGAAAAGCTGCCAAGCTCATCCTCTTCTCTTTGGCTTGTTACTTCTTATCTGGGGTCCAGACCCCACAGGTAAGGTGCTCCTAAGGGTTGGGGATATTTTATCGTGTTTTATCTTCTGACCTCGGTATTTACTTTTTAAACTGCAAATGGAGTAATATTTAAAGTGTGTAAGTTAAATAAACAGAAAATATATCCAGAAAAGTGTTGTTAGCAAATGATTTTTCTTAAATGACTCTTTGTTTCTCCCACTGCTACCAGAAGGAGTAAGAGTTAAATAATGACTGAGTCCTGACTAGACCAGAAATCACTGGCCTAGAAGACTCAGAATGGGAGTGGAGTGATCCTTAACCATCAGGTTGTTAGATCTTGTTTATGGGGGGCAAGAGGACCTTGGTGGAATCCTCGCTTGTGGGCCCAGGACCTGAGCTGCTAGAAGGGAGACAACTGAATGTGGCCAAATACACTCTGAGGTACAGGTTATCTGAAATCTGAGAGCTGTGCCCCAATTAGACAGGAAGCAAGAGTACGACTGGGGAAGACGAAGCTGATAGCTACAACCTAGTCCTTGTTCAGAATCACATGCTAACTCTATGGCCCCAGTTAAGCAGAGGCATGAGTCATTCCCAAAATCAAAGACACAAATCTATCTAGAGCAGTAAGCTTGAAATCATGGCCAGGAAACCAGAGACCTCTCCTTAGCCATAATCTGCAAGGTGCAGGTTACAGAAAACATGGATTTTTTTCCTATACATTCCATCATAATCTCTTCTAGATTTCTACCTCATTTCTACATATATCTTCATAACACTTGGTATCTTTTGGCTTGCCAATCTCTATATAAGCCTAAATAATAAAGCCAGTGGAAAGCCAGACTTGTACAATTAATTTCTGAAAAACCAGCTTCCCATAATTTGGGAATGCTCCCATCCTCAAGAAAAAGATCACTTGTCCAGCCTGTCGTCAGAGTAAGTGGGAGATTAGCTTCTTGACAACAAACAAACTGCTATGATTCTCATCTGGAAACACCTGCTTTCACAAATTTTAAATCAATGTGTATCTTGATCTCCACTTCCAACTCAGCAAGATAAAAAGTAAACAAGTGAATGGTACAAAATACAGCAACTGTGTTTGATTGACTCTAAGCCCAGAGCTACTTAAATACATGGGATCTTAAAGGGGACTATAATCCCAATCCATGTCCCCGAACCAGGGGATGAATGCAGCCAGGGACAGCGGTGACAAAAAGGACTGTCCTTGAGTAACAAGGCAGGTGGTCATTATCTCCAACACCATAGCCAAAGGGCTGGTCACTGTGCTTTTACCTCTGGCCCCAGACACAGAACACACAGAGGGACAGTGGTGTTTTCAATATCTATTTGCTAGCAGCTGGGGCTGCCTTTGCTTGGAAGCCTTTCATGGGGAGAGTCTCACACATTGACAATATGAAGCCAAAGCTTAGAGCTGGTAAGAGAACACTTTGGGCCATGAAGTTTTGTCAAGATGGAAAACCCTCTTTGGAGTAGGCCTGCTATCCTTGTCTATGTCATACCCCACCCCCTTGTACTGGTGGGAATATCAACATTATAGGCCCATGGCAGGGAGGGGGAAGATGAACATTCTGCTGGACAAAGGTTTGCTTATATGGTCTGCCCACTCACAGGGCAAGAGGTCCCACATAAAATCTGAGAGCACAGCCCAGCCTCAAACTTTAACCACATGGATGGTCCTAGCCCTACTGCTCAAGGAAATGGCCTCCCCTCCCACAGACACTTTAGATGACCCAAAAATGTCATTCTAAATCTATTCACCAAACTGAGGCTTCCCTAAACCACTGGCAGAGAAACTCAAGATTCAGGTATAAAAATTGAGGCTAATGTGTGGTTCTCTTCCAGTCCCCAATTTGGAACTGAAGCACTTAAAGATTTAAAGTCAGTTATAAAAACAGGTGAATTCTCCCACCTAGAAATGGACCATCTATAAAGGAAGTGGAGAAAGACTGTGGGTGTGTGGGTGGGGATTGTAATTAAAATAGTCAAAATTTTATTCACGGCCAAGGAAGGCACCTATGTTTATTAGACATGTGTATGCATCCTAGACCTGGCTCTAGTAGCTTTTTGAATCTTATTTTATTTTATTCCTCTAGTAGAGCTAAGGAAACAACTTCAGAGAAGTGAAGTACATACTGCCATTTCTGCCCTAGAAAATGTAGTGTGTCGACATGAAAGAAACACTGGGATGAACATGAAATCAAATGTGATTCTTGTTTGGGGCTGATGTTTAACCATTTGGAGCCACGTGGCTTTACCCAAGGCCCTGGTCCCGGGGTCCTACATTTAGAGCTTCCAGGCAGTTCTCATCACGACAATGAAATACACATCGGTGTCAATGGATGCGCTCACCCCTGCATAGTAGTTCATAAACTCCTCGGGGGTCACCTGCAGTGGAAAAGTCAGAAACAAAAACAAAACTTTGCCTCCCACCACTTCAGTGGAGGCCCATCTCCAGTACCTGTAAATGGGAGGGAAACTTTGGTCAAGGCTTTTTAGTGACACAGATCAAGAAGAGATCTCAGACAAGAGGAAGCAGTCAAGTTGAGGATGACCGTGAGGGGTACAGAGGGGAAGATGGGTAGAAAGTCTTGGAAATTTCCAGACCAACCTAAATGGAAAGTGAGATACAGGTTCTCGCCTTTCTTTAAGAGCAGGAGCCCATCTGTTTGGATAAGTGCAACTGAAACTCAGAATAAGAAACAAGTTTCTTTAGCGGTAGTTAGTATGGGCTTTCTGTGACACGTCAGAAATAGCGCCTCAGGTTCTGGGTCAGGGCAAATAACGTTTCACCTTTCAGAAAGTGGGATTCTGCCCTGTGGATAAAGAAATAGATTTCTAGTGAAATACTCCACGGCTTCATGCTTTTTAAAGATAGAACTTACTCGTTTCAAGGCACAAAGTGAGTAAAAAAAAAAAGGCACCCGCTGCTCCATGCGTCTCCACCTCACCGGGGGTGGGTGCTCTCTCCATCCTGTGCCTACAACGGTCTCTTTGGAATATCAATTAATGTGTTTACCTAGGCTAGAATTTTATATTACTTTCGTTTTAGAAAGAAGAAACAATAGTTATCAATCTTATTTTTGACTAGGTGTAGGCAATATGTACGCTGTAGTTCAACCATACTGGCTGAAGTGATTAGGTGACTCAGGAAAAGAACTGTCTTCCTGTTTGGCTGAGCTCTCTAACCAATCAATTTAGCCCAAAGTACAGCCCGGCTTACATGGGAGGACACAGAGGCAATAATGATGGCTGTTTAAGAAACGTATTGTTCTCTAGTTAGTCCTCAATTTTAAGTGTCACAAGGGATTAAAAGCATCACAAAAAGTGAAACCCAGAAATAATTCAAAACCCCTCTTCCACAGAGTGCCCACCTATATCTTCTAAGAATCATAGGAACTGATTAACTCACTTACCTTTTTTTGCTGCAATCAGAAGTGAACAGAGAAAAAAAGTCACAGGATCCATATTTCTCTCCCTGTACCTACCCCTCACACAACCCCAAAATAGTAAAATGCAGAAGGAAGGAAGTCATTGGACTGAACTAATAGTTAAGCTGGGCTTTTCAGTGGCCTAGAAGTAGAAGTAAATATGTGCATAACTTTTACTAAAATTAGAATACCATTAATGTTCTCCTTTCTTCAATCTCTTTACTTACGTCCTCCTTTGCATTCCCCCTTTATCTAGCATTAAACCCCATCTGAGAGTCAGGTTACATAAAACTGGACATCAGAGCTAAGACATTTGATCACTTCAGAAAAGGCCATCAGTTATTCTTTTTTTTTTTTTTTTTAAAGATTTTATTTATTTATTTGACAGAGACAGAGATAGCGAGAGCAGGAACACAAGCAGCGGGAGGGGGAGAGGGAGA